AATGTAACCTGATTATCTACTGAATTAACATTCCTTAACGAAAGACTACCTATTTTATGTTTCACATTTTCTTGCTCGCATTAAAACACCGACACAATGAATTCAGCGCAATTTGAAATGGATTGTAAAATAAACGAATCTACCTATTCGAGTATTTTTCTCCACAGACTATTGCAACTTTTATGAAACAAGTAGGCTATTATTTTTGCGCATATGTGCCTTATTTTGAGTAGGCGAATTACAAATAAATGTCTTGTTAGTTAAATGCATCCAACTGTGATTTAGATGGTTCTGTACATTTCAGTAACTGTTACTTTTTAGTGATATTTTTAAATATAACTCACTTAGAATGTAAATGTACCTGTTTTCGACACCTGGCTACTATTTGCCCCTCATACATCCCATCATAACAACTATATTTGTTTGTTTTGATATGACCTTCATATGTAACCTACCTCAGATTCCAGGAAAGTCAGCTATAGCTTATTATTGCAACACCCTCACGTGAACGTTTGAAGTCTTATCCTTGCAATTATAAAACTATTCTTGCCTTTTTTATTCAGAAATATGTTCAGGTTAAATGACTAGCTGTCTGTGAATGCTAAAACAAAAATAAACGCATGCACTTTTATTTTAACAGCAGTACATTTTAGTAGCCGAAAAAAGGCATTTATTTTTGTTCGTGTACAATAAGTAAACTCAAAATGTGCAAAAACTGTGATGTATACCTATTTAGTGCCAACGTTTAGTTGTATAAGTAATATGTAAACCAATAAATATTTTTAAAAAAACGTATACCTCTGGGGATGTTTTAAATAATGAAAATATATTTGAATGACATTACATGCTTTTTCTATTACCAAGCATTTGTTTGCATGTCATATTAAGTTACCCACATCAAATATGATCATAATCATCAGTCATAACATGTACCGGTTGAGTAATAATATGTTGCTTCCAGTCAGTGCTGTTGACTGACGCCAATATCATGTTGCATGTAATGAAACTTGTTGCAGTCCATTATGAGTGTAAGGTAAACACTTTAGTTTGGGAATGTGAACTATGAGGATGCGAGATGGGGCAGGCTGCAGATGAAGGGAAATTGCTGTTGAACTCTGCATTCCCTCTGTCCTCGGTAAGATGGCGCCTGACGGTGACCTGCCCCCTTCCTTCTCCTTTCTCTCCCCCTTCTCCCCCCCTCCCTTCGCTTCCCATCTCCTCCAGCACTGGGTCATAAATCCGTTGTTGTTTATGAAAATTTACAACATGGCAATACTACTTTACGACCCGACTCGTCTTCCCATTGGTCGCAGCTTGTCACGTGGCAGGGAGCCATGAACATGAACTTTTTATATATAATTTCCAATAGTGGAATAGAGCAGCCTTTCATTTAACGGTCTCGGGCTTCAATGCGGCTGTTTTCCACCAGCGACCTTCTACAGTTTTATACCGGTTTTGGAATTTGGAGTTTTCTCTCGGTCGGGCAGGAGCTTACTTTGTGTCATGACTGGATCGTTGAGGGTGCCCTGCTGTCGTTTGGGCATGATGGGTGGACGGAGCCCCGGTGCGTCACTGACCCCCAGGATTCCCAGTTTCCGTCCGGGGACTCAGCTGGATACCTCCCTCCGTCACCGGCCGTCAGCACCTGCCAACTCCCTCTCCTCACCTCCCCCTGTTCACAGGCAGAAACCATCACAAGGTAAGACAAATTAAACGTATTACTCTGTTTGCTTTTTCTATCAATTTACAATGATCAACCTTTAGAATAATACAGTTGTGTTCAAGTATTGCTACTTATTGTTTTCTGGTTAAATATCCAGCGGTTGGAAGACATGGTTAAATGTTATTTGATTTGATTATGATTTAAATTGCGGAAGCTTAAGATCTGATTAAGCGGAGATGAGTTAACACAAGTGCTGTTTTATCTTCCTGTTGGCTTTTGCATGCTTTCTATGCCGTATTTGTTTGTTGTTGGATTTGAATGTGGATGGACCTTTTGATGCAAAAATCATTAGGCAGATGCCATCTAAAAGAGGTGCTCTTTAACGCCCTCCTGTGGACACACTGGAGTTGCTTTGGTTGCAGCTTTGTCCGTTTTTGCTGCAAATGTCCTGCAGTGCAGGCTGGAGAGACAAGTCTAATTTACTTGTGTGTTTAAATGCACCATGCTTTACTGTGTTATTAACCACACAGGTGCATGCTGGATGATGCACATTGAATTGATAAACAGGCACATTTTCAGTGACAAAAACAGGATTATTTTATCGCATAAATGACCTTAAATAAACATAGAGGCTTCCCTCCAATCGAATTCAGACAAGTTAAACATTTCGGTTGGATATAAATTATTTGCACTCTGTAATTGCACATAAACATGGTTAATGCTGTTTCTTTGAATGCATTTAGCGAGCCCAATGTAGAATATTGAGACACTGCAGTGATTTGTTTCTTGCGATAAATTACTAGTCGATCAACTTCTGAAGATTTAAATTCAAAGCATGGACAGATTATTGCAAGATATTAATCCTGCAAAAGGGAATGTATAGTTACTTTAATCAAATATGGTGTGCATTGTCCATATCTGAAATCTGCATATTACAATTGTAATGCACAAAACCAATCGAGCTTTGCTTTGACTGCTCTTGCTTTCAATATCCAATCGTTTTTTTCTCCAGTATTTTTGAGGATCGCTTTGCTGTTCGTATTCTATCAAATATATATGTTTCTATCTAAATAATTAGCCTGAATGTGAATACAGTTCGTTCAAGACGTTTTACAGCCGTGTGTAATTTAGGCATAAAGTGCAATTAAAATATTCTCAGTAAGTATTTAATTGCTATACTCTAAGACGCTGGTGTGTATGTGTGCAAATGTGCCTGCAGAGTGCACTGCCCTCCTTTTTTCTGCAGCTTTGGCCCCCTCGCTCCCAGCCCAACGTGTTTGACACCAGTGCGCACTCACTTCTTTCATCTCCTTTCTTTTTGCTCCTTATTTAGTTCCTGGGTGTGTCCCTGGCTTGAAATAATGTTCGTGGGAACTTTGTTGCCATTGGCCAGCCATAAATCAGCTGTTGGAGCATGACTGAACACACACCCCATAGGTCTTCTCTTAGTGTGGGCCAACTGGATTTTGTGAGCACGGTATTCACCCTTCCTCACACCGTGCGTTCTGGGGGCTTGTTACCGCAAAGGGAGCACATACCTGAAGCAGAATAAATAATATCTGGTTCACTATGTTTGTCAGAAACACATGATGGGGCTTGTGCTGTGTAAAGGGGCTGCTGTTGGGAAACAGCATGTTAAAGAAAGCAAAGGACAAGCCGCTGCCTTCAAGAGACGAAAGTGCCATAAAAATTCCACAAAGAGAAAACCAAACGGACGAGGCGTCATGCCACCATTTAGGCGTCGTGTCTGTTTGCGGGTCTTCTGATTTTGTACTCCTGCTCAGGGTGAACATTGGTCATAGTAGATGATTTATAATGTGTGCATTGGCCAGGGTACATTTAGAGCCAGAAATACTTAGTTTTTTTCTAACGTATAGGGCAACGTTTTCCCTGAGAGTTTGAATTATGTTTTGATAACCATCTCATGCTTCTGTTGTATTCTAATCGACCGATGAGACAATTGCTTCAAAACTTTTATGGCAATATCACAAAAAATGGTATATCATAAAAAGATGTAACGCAATAAAAGGAACATAAAATACTACGATGATACCTTTTTGTGATGTAACGTTCAGCCATCCGAATGGATGCATTAGGGCACAATGCAAATATCGAAACTATTAATTATCATCTGTATAAGGCAGGAAATAATTTTGCATTAAACATTTTGGCCCCATTTCATCCATTCATCGTTTCGAATATTTCCTTTCTCAATAACTTCAAATTGCGTCTCTTGTTTTTATAAATTGAACGGTGACTGCACACAAATCGACACCAAGCTGCCCATAGAACACATTGGGTTTTGTTCTCGATCTGTTGATATATCCAAAGCATAAAAGCACACAAAAAAACAATTGAAAAGATGTTGAGTGTTCAATTCAATATAATGAGGTTTTGCTTTCATACGAAAGCGTAATAAAACCCAGTAGCACGCAACAACTTATTATATAATTGGAGAGCTTGTTGTTGGAAATCTTTACATTTTAAATAGCCTAAAATAGACAGTATCGTGGCTTTACGCGCGTTCATAGCCTATACTTAAATGTATTAATTCTTCAACGTGGCATAAAGTACAGGCCTCGAATGGAAGTTTATGTGTTAATATTCGATAATGTGATGTTTAGCTTTTATCCTACCCGAAATATTTATTCACATGTTCCCATATTCGTCGCTCTTCAGTTGTTTTATGAATATAAAAGAAAGTGTAGAGAAAAAACACAGCCCTGTTTTGAATGGGCTTTTATTCTATTAACTGCGCACACTATTTGCACTCATATCCTCATCATAACATGAATAACATATTCTGATCGAATTATTTCTATACACTGTCCTCGCAGAGATTGCACGCTCAGCATGTCACTTGTTGTATTGTTTAGGAGCCCGTTGTTTTTTGCCGCAATGGTCGTTAACCTCCGAATGACCCCGTGTGGAGCCCACGCCTCACAGAGCTCCGCAGACAGGCAGTGCACCAGTTTGGCCAGAGGATGGCGCACCACGACAATTCAAAACACCCAAACCGTAGCTCAGAGTTGGCCCTAGCCACGAGCGCATGGGGGCGCGCTCCCTTCTCATCCCACCCAGTATTTCCTCCGTGCACGAGTTTACCTCTGGAGGTCACCAAGCAGGATTTACGACTGGTCAACAAAAGCACGTGATACTATGCCGTACCCCATATTTGGGTGCCTACGTAAGAGAGAATCAAGTCCATGTCCCACTCATTTCCATAATTCATCATAAATTGTGCAAGGGTGCTATAGGACGCGCTAAACCATAAGAGCCACAAATCAAGCACACAGGTTTAGTATTTTACCTTTGAATTTTATAAAAACAACAACAATACTTACTACGAGCGAACGGAGGAATTGTCAACAAATGAGCTCCTATTTTGTGAACTCATTCTGCGGTCGGTATCCCAATGGCGCGGACTTCCAGTTACATAATTATGGAGACCATAATACGGAAAACGAGCAATACAGAGACTCAACAGCCATGCACTCGAACAGGTATGGCTATGGCTACAACGGGATGGACCTAACAGTTGGTCGGACCGGTACCGGACACTTTGTGGGCGACGAGCAGACACCAGGCTACTCCCCGAGTCACTCAGCGGCGACAACACCCTCGGTGGAGCCGGTCAGGTACAACCAGTCTGCCAGCAACAACAGGACACCGTCTCTCTCGCCACCACCTGACCCACTACCGTGCTCCTCGGTCGCCACCTCTTCCCCGGTCCACGAAACTCAATCTCAACACCGAGCCGTGAAAAACTCTATAAACACCCCGTGTTCAAGCTCTAACGGAGGCTCGCTGCTGCTCAGCCGGGACTGTGTGTCCAAATCTTCCCCCCTCGAGGAAGAGAAACCTACGGGAAGCGCACCAACAACTCCTCAAAATGTCACCGACTCATCACAGCCACAGATATACCCGTGGATGAGAAAACTTCATATAAATCATGGTAAAGTGCTTTTCTTTTAGTAATGTTGTATTGATTTTATAGATCTGTTGCTGTGTTATTGTTGGGTTAAGGTGTAATTGTGTTTATATATTATGAGACGTTTTAAATGTTATCAAAACAGGACAGATTTGGATTATTTTAGTAGAAAATATGTTTACTATAAGAGGCATGTGGCGCCATGCGCATCTCACCTGTTTGGTGCTTTTCAGTACTGTTACCATATACTAGGTACGCAATCATTTTATGAGATAAAATATAACTTTAAAGTCAGTTCAAATGTTTTCGATATAACCTACACGTTGAGAATTTGTTGTAATGAAATATACTGTATTTATTTTAAGGTCAAATACCCAAAGTTGACCATGTGAATTACTTTTCGTAAGGTGCAGTTGAAAATGTGTAAATCTTACTAACGCTACTGGTTGTTTCTGCAATAACTAAGGGATCTACTTAGTCGTGTTCCAACTTTAAAACCACAAACCAAAACATGCAGCGTTTAAAAAAAAATGCAAGAATTGTAATAAAACAAAGTTGCTGCACTATTTGTTTTTTTACATTTACTGTATCTGATGTGTTTCCCACTCTCTTTATGTAAAAAGATTTGTCAGGACCAGAGGGTAAGAGAGCCAGGACTGCATACACCCGGTACCAGACCCTGGAGCTGGAGAAGGAGTTCCACTTCAACCGGTACCTGACCCGCAGGCGGAGGATCGAGATAGCCCATGCCCTCTGCCTCTCAGAGAGACAGATCAAAATCTGGTTTCAGAACCGTAGGATGAAGTGGAAGAAAGACAACAAGCTGAAGAGCATGAACATGGCGTCTGCAGGCGGGGGAGGCTACAGGCCTTGATATTCACTCCTCTACCCCTGATAACGAGCACTATAAAAAAAATAAAACAAAGATTGTCATATCAAATTCTCCTCCTAATTCAAAAAGCGCAGAGACTTGTGAACGGGCCGTGTGCGGGACAAGGGACACCCCACTTGAGCCCATTGTATGTCCAGCAACTGTCCCATTATATTCCTTAATATTATTTACTCTTTATTTCCACCGTGGTAATGCTTATGTAAGGGGAAAAAAATACATTATGTACAGTTATGTCTAGATTTAGAAGAAAAAGAAAGAAAATAAATGTTTGTTTAAATTATTTCCTGTTCAGACAAAGAAAAAAAAGAAAAACGCTTGAAATGCTACCTATTCACCGCAAATAAATCCAGTAAAAGTTGTGTGATAAGAACAATACCAGCCTAATAAAAAGAGGGTTGAGGTTGAGCTGTTTAGCCTTCGTTTTCTATATATGTACTGTATATGTATGTATTTATTTGTGTGATGTATTGTATCAATTTGTCAGATAACTTGCTTCCAAAAGTAGAACCAGCAGAGCGTGAGCCTTGTGTGGTCATTGTGTGCATTGTAAACACATGTATGGACAGAGGTGCAGACTCAGTCTTGTATGTACAGTATAGCTGTGCCTTGCATCTTTATTTTGTACTATTTTTTTTGCTGCTGTTTGCGTTGTTCAGCTGGACGCAACATCTGAGTAAAACGTGTTTTATCTTTGTTTTCTCATAGCTGTTTTTATGTGGAGGTTCCCCACAGTAAATCTCATTGCCTATGTGTATAACTCCATCGTGTTTAGCTTTTTGTAAATGTTTTTTCAAAGACTGGAAGTCAAGAATATACTATAATAATAATAATAATAATAATAATAATAATAGTAATAATAATGATGATGATGATGATGATGATGGCCATAATAAACTTTCTACTGGAACGGCAACATTATATTGAGTGAACTTTTTTGTAGAATCCAGATTCGTTTACGCATTTGCCACGACTGCGTAAAAGAAGCGAGGAGTCAGACCTTGCTGTTTGGTCTAAAATCTTTAAGTGAGCTTTCAGAGAATTGTCAAATCAAATCCTTGAATTCAACAGGTCCCCCTCGAATGAAAACTTCATATTTCACTCACCTTGCTCTGGAGATGGGGGTGTTTTGGGGTCCTTGGCCATTAACCGGCTGCATGGCCGGGCGTCCCCTTTGCGCACAGACTCATGGGCTATTCTCGGAGAATCAGCTCGACTTTTTCAGCTGTAAACTTTATTAGGGCCGATTCTGGCTCTCTGACATTTGGGTGCTAAATGAATGGGGGGTTTTGTCTATGAATTAGATCGTAAAAATCATCCAGAGCGCGGCCAGATAGGCTCACTGGCCATAAACGGTCACGTGGTGGCCATTAAAGTAAGTTTTATGGTTTTGGGGAGTTGACAGTATATTGCACATAACATATAATCGCACTGACGGCGAAGCTTAGTCTGACTCTCTCTTTGCAGGCTGTAAGTGTTACTTGACCGGTACAGACCGTGTCTATTGCTCTGTGTTGCTCAGAATGGACCGGACGCTCTCCAGGATGAGGACCGCGACTCTGGGTAAGTTTCTGCAGACTATCCGGTAGCCAGAGAACAGCCCGCCTGTGTTAAACAGCCTTATTATTGTATTTGCTCCCTCTATCTGTCCCTATTAGTCCATTACACTAATTCGTCAGTCGTGCAGTGCTGAATCCTGGTCTCGGCAGATGTTGCGCAGGGTTGGGTCCGGCTCATGGCTATTTAATTGCTTCCTTCCCCGTGTAACTTGTTTCCCTCCATCTGTGGTGTAACTCGTAATCCATTTTTACATGTTGGATAATTATCTCAGTGTCCATTTCCACCCCCACAAACTTCTAGTTGTTGTCGTTTTATTACATTGGAGGATTCACAGACCGTGAATCAGAAAGTTTAAAAGGGAAGTGTGTGTGGAGGTTTCCGTGATAAAGCTATAGGCGTTAGTGCAGGCCTACAGATGTACTGCTAGCTCTGTTTGATTGGATTCTATATCTGCTTATAACTTTTTGGAAGTTGTAGGTCCATCCATGGAAAAAAGTTGCAGTCGTTGTTGTGTTGAGCTCTGCGCTCCACATGTTGGCACAGTGTATGGCTTTAGGAAAGGCTGTAAACAGTGTCAAGTAAACACAACATGGGAACAAACATTTGAAAAGGAATTCCATTTTGTGTCAGCCTCGTTGTTTTGTGTTTGGGGTTGAAAAGTTCAAATTACCTCTTAAAAGTCACTCTCGCTTTGTGGTGACCTCTTGTCCGATCAGTGCCGGGGCCAAACCAGCCACCAGCCGGACCCTGATGCCAAAAGACCATGGACTAAAATGGGGGAAAAATATATAATCTTTGACTTTTTTTTAACTCATTTTCATTTTAGTTTCCTGCGTATTTTTTAAACTAAATAGTGTGTGACTCGGTGCGGCCGTTTCTAATTCGAAACCTCGAGGCCAACTACGAAATCCTATATACATTTTGGTGGATTTACCTTTTTGTGCCTATAGTTTTTGGAGAAAATCACTTGTGACTACATTTCTCTGAGTTAGTGACTGGGCGGCCAGCCATCATAACTTAAACACCACGTTTTCTTTGTGTTTGCCTGCATCATTATGTCTAGAACCATTGCATTTTTGTGGAAAAATATTCTTTATTACTTAAAATTAGTTTTTGGACTTCCACCAATTCGGTATGTATTATCTGGCAACATTGTGGGGAAAAAACCTGGAAATGCAAGGTGGATTTCTCCCAAAATCTATTACATTTTTTCATTGTTTCTTTTTGTATCAAACTGAAAGCAGTAGTATATGGGTGTGCACTGATTATTTAATTAACACCATATAAATCTGCAGCAATCGCTCGGTTTGTTATGCATATGAGTCCATTCTAAGAAGATGCTGCATCTTTCTAGTTCGATTTTAGACACACTGAAAATAAAACAAGACACTTTGAGAGTGCGGCTATTTGGAAAATAAACCCATTGCCAATATTTCATGAGGAGACATTTCGACAGGGCCCCATGTGCGGCATACTGCCAGGCAGAAAGAGAGAAGCGTTGCAGGTTCATCTGGAGGTCAGCCACAGCACCAAGATAAATCTGCATCCTCTCAGAGCCACCAGCAGAGCTCGCTTTAGGCCAAGTTCACTGTCACCCTGCAGTATGGAGAGAGGGAAACTACTCACACATCCACGGTACCGAGCGCACACACGCCTTCACGTTAATGACGTGATAATAAAGTTTGCTTGGCGTTGCCAATAAGCATTAATGCGTTAAAATGAATATACCGAGGGACACAGAGCCTGTGGTAACATCCTGCACTGGAGGAGAAACTGGAGAGATGGGAGTTTAACTTTACGTGTTGCCTCCAACAAAGACTTTTGGCTGCTTTTATTTTCTCTATAAGCTAATGAATGATTTGCATATTTTACAACCCTATTAGTCTTGAGTGGGAGCCTATTGGATTTATCTTTTCACTCCCTCGTTGGAAACATCATAAAGCTACAATCGCATTTTAGGTATTGTGCTGGCATCTCCTCTAATTATGAAAATTGTGAAAATGATCATCGTGATGGCAAGAGATATACACATTGTTCAAATCAATTTTTCGTTGAGAGGGGCAGATATCTCACTGGGCTGGGACAGATGAGAGCGAGATAGCTGCAGAAGAGGAGGAAAAATTGGGGTCAAAAGTTTACGCGCTGAACAAGTCTCCGTCATCTGTTCACTCGGAGCTTGATGCCAGCCTTATAATAGCGATCTTGACTCTCCACACAAAAGACAGAATAGCTTTGAATTACATATGTTGCACAGTGCACTCCAGGTGAACCCTGAAAGCGCGGTGACCTCGCGTTTGGGACCGGGGGAGGGGACCCCCCACCCGTCCCCAGCAACAAGATTGAGTGGCTGACGTTTTATTAGGGCGGTTGATTGGTGAATTTCCTTTGAATAAATTGCATTTGATATGTTTAGGGACGAGGGAAAAATTTGCATTTTGAGGATTGATACTCTCGACCCGGTCACAGGGTAATGGGAAGACCCACAGCCCCCAAATTGAGCCCCCGGACCCCTTAAAAAACATTTAGCCCCTCTCTTCCTGATCCTCTGAATAGAAGCCTTTTAAGAAAACTGAAATGGCACAGATGTTTCTTGTGACTCGTAGAGGGAAAATACAAAAAACACATTTTTTGTTAATAAATAGGTTTTACGCTACATACGTAATTATTTTTGCTGGGCCTTTTTTTTACCGCATGGGGAATGAATGCAATTTCTTATAACTAAATTGTGTAACCTTTAGATGTTTGTAGGGAGACCCCATTACACATAAATGTGAACAAATATAGATTATAACTAAACCTAATTTACACCAGAAACTAACATTACCCAGCTTAAACTGGGTCTCGGCAAAATCGCATGCCTTCTTGAACGCAACATAATATTATAACAACTTATTTAAAAAATAATCCAACCAAAACTAAACAATTATTAAATCTTGGATCCTTTTCATAGAAAGGCCCAATCATTTCGGACTTTTTCAGACATAAACTTTTTAACTGTCATCTGAGCATCAAATAAAAGTTATATTTAGACAATCTTATTTCATTTTTCATTTAGCACATTTGAAGAAACGTCACACGCGGACACAACATATATTGCACTTTGAAAAGTGTTAAAATGCAAAAATGTGTAAATGAAATTCTCAAAATGTAGTCATTTTTTAATTCATAACTTTGTTTATTGAATCAATGAAGAATGAAAGCGACCAGATAGACGGCTATCTTCGCTAAATACTTTCCAAATGAATCCACATTTTTGAACAGAATGCACAACTTCATATGTCTTCAATTATTATTAATTCAAACGTTGACAGTCTTCTTGTTAACTAACTCCAAAGTGCACATGAACCTATCAGTTTATGTACTCTTTGGAACCATTTTGGAAACATTAGTTGTGTCGTCCATCTCGGAAATATACTGGCACAATACTATCAGTTGAAACGCCCTCTTTATTTTATAAGAATAAAGAAGTTGTCTATGCACTTTCTAAAGGAAGAAGCAGCTTGTCTTTGCCTTTATTAACGATCATTGGAGGCCTGAAGTTCACTGTTATTAGTCTAATCAAAGTTTGCAGCTGTATATAAAAGCTAGTGCCCATCCTGAGTTATTGTGAAAGCTCGTTCCGTTGCCAGTCCTTGCTGTTAAGTGGTTTAAAAGGACAATCACAAGTGTTAAAAGAAAATATTTTTATTATGAGCGTTTACCTGTATCAAAATATGTCCATAAAGCTGTGAAAGGTATTTTCTGGCCCGAATCATTGCCACATCTTGGATGCAAAGAAGATTTTTTATCCCACCGTCAGGGATCCGTATAGACAGGAAACCTTGTGAGCACCATCTGCAATCTGTCACTATCGTCTCAGCACTTCACTGATAATCTAAATTTACAGTAAACTGTCAGCATGATGTATATTGCTTAAATAGACCTTCACCTCACAGTATATGCTCTGAAAGGGAACACCGTGATCTGGCTGTTAGATTATTATAACCTTAAATAAAATCCATAACGCACAGCTCTAACGGGTTTTATTCACATTATGAGTCAAATGGATTTTTAAATTTAGTGGAAAATTGCTTAGATAGTGTAAGCTAGTTTGCCATTGCTTCCTTTTGCTCCAATGGTCAATTGGAGGATTATTATCCTATTATATTTTGTGCATAGTTCGAGTGATTTCCAGATGCTTTATATTGAAACACACAGCAGCAGCTTGCAGGCCTGGACTAGATAACGGAGATATTACCTGCAGTCTTATCTAAAATGCTTCTTTTGTATGGCTGAGCCGGATTTTTGAATCACAATAATATATTTTAATAAAGTTATTAAAGAAAAAAAAGTGGTCCATATAGCAACAAGTAGCTACAATGACCTGTAAAATCAGTGGATAATAGCTGATCTGGCCCATATTTATTCAGCACCTATATATAATAGAATGGCAGCATACTGTAAATTTAGATATGATGTGAAGTAGTCTTACCGCTGACATTATGTTGACATATTGCCTCTCAGGTGGTCTCTCGGCCATACGGATACAGTGGATGTATGGCGGAAAGTACATCAGCTGCCATTTACAATGAGTTAGGTGTGAGAAAGCCTGTAAGATACACGAGATAGGAGCAGCTTTGCCTTGCAGCAACAGAGTGAACATGAGAGAAAAGCAATTTTTGAGGAGGATAAACTGAGGCATGTCTCTCGTTGCTGTGGGGAAGTCAATAATTCACCTGTTTTTAAATATTCTGCGTCCAAAATCTAGATTCAGTGATTTTTGAAGAAAAAATCTTCTGTATTTTTTTCTAAATATATCAGCCCATTTGCAGCAGATATGGAAGACCCCTATTCCACCTTGTCTAACTCGTAGGGCGACGTGTGATTTTCGGGATAGTTTGAGGTCTTTTGCACATGTTTTAAAATACTTTAGGGACCTTTCCAGGTGCTGACCTGCGCTAAGTACTCCCCCAACTCCCCAGAGCTGAACAGACCATGCAAAACTGAAGTCCAAGTCCGGGGTGAGCCTCAGGTCACTGCGTCTAACAGATATGAAAATGTCGCCTCTTTGGAAAGGGGGCACGCCTTGTTGTTTAACAAAGACTGTCAATGGGAAAGATTAATCAGAAACAAAATGGAAACGGTGTCACTTTGGGGTCAGGCAGAAGTTATCTCTGTTTAGAGGAGCGAATAGAATAGGGGGGACCAGGGAAAAAAGAAAAAAAGGAGAGAAAAGAAAGCTTTCAATATTTCCGAAGTTTGGCCTCTTGTTTCTCCATGCAGAGGCCTTGTTGACGTGGACAGTGTGGATCAGCTTTGTGAAGAGCTGCTGCATCTTCTTGGGACACATATACAGTGAGGCCCCTCGGACATGGAGAAGAAACAGGACCTGGACGTGATGGCCGATGGCGAGGAGCACGGTCAGAAACTTTTATAGACTCTACCTTAAAAAATGTGCAGTTGACTTTTTAAAAAAATTATTTAAAAATTATTCTAAAATCTATGTGAGTCTTTCCTTACATAATTATATTAAATGTTGTTATTATTTTTATTTTCTTAATGTACCTGAATGTTTGCCATTTTTAACTTTTAGTACCCACTATCTTTGTCATATACTTTGATAGTTACAACACATCGTGGCTAATCTTTGCCTGGCTGTTTGCATGGTGGTGCAGCGGCACGCGTAGGAGAGACGGATCAAGATATTGCATATTTGTATTGAAATAGTGGAAAATTGTTTCTGGATAACTTTTTATATATTTCACAATTCAAACAGATTTGTTAAATTGTATTGGGTGTGACATTGTCTGTGCTGGACAGAGAATTGTGGCATGTCTTAAAAAATCAAATGTCTGAGCTGTTTCACAATCCCACGCCTTGGTTTGGCGTGTGGCCATAATGAAAGATCCACTTGCAAGTGTTTGTTCAGTGTTTGGATTTGCTTTTCAATGGCAGGTAACGCATATAACTGGTAATACGTGATGGCCGTGCCAACAGAGCCTGATAACTTTCATATATTAAAATAAATACAAAGTCAAGTCTGACATCATTGCTATGTCCTGGCAAATGTGCAGAAAACATCATTGCATTTGAAACGAAAAAAGGGGTCATATGCATGTACGCCGGTGTGCAAAGAGAGAGAAGAGTGTTTTGTGTTTGTGTGTTTGTCATAGGCGTGTATTCACAAGGATGCACAAGAGTTATGCTTTATATGCAGGCATGTGTCCGCAGTGATAATGTCATTGCTTGCAGGAAGCTTGTGAACGGGTTTCTTTTTTGATAATTTAAATAAGCTGATATACAACAATATAGTTTGCACTGATGTTTGGCATGCTGTCAGTGCCCCTGTTCAGCGACATTTTTGGGATTCAACACGTTTTAAACTCCAACAACAGACATTCACGTCACAGTGAGAAATATTCCTTTGTTTGTGATAACCTTTATTTTGTCAGGGCTTTCATTTCATATTCACTTTCTGTTTCAGAAGAGGTGGAATTATTTTGCACAAGCAGGAATACCTCACCCACATAAGTTTGGCCTCATGCAGTAAACAAGTTAGTTGATTGGTTTTGCTTTATATACGGTGATTTAATAAGGAAAACATCAACGTAAGCCAGTCCGAGCAGTGTTGGTGGTACCAATGCCATGCTTTCCATTGGTTCCTGTTTACATGATGCCCACAGGACACGCCGTGATTGGTGGCGCTTCACACGTGACCAGGCAACTTTGTACATTTGACAGGGAGTAGGAGGGTTTTGTGGAGATCAGAAAAACGACAGCGCGATAAAAATTAGTATTGTTGCACTTCACAAATTAATGACCATGAGTTCCTACTTGATAAACTCCAACTATATCGAGCCTTCCTTTCCTCCATGCGACGAATATCAGCAGAGCGGATACATCCCCAACGCTGGTGATTACTACGAGCGGCCAAAAGATACGGGCTTCCCCCATCACGAAGAACCATCCTATCCGAGGTCAAACTACACAGAAACGGGATACGATTACGGTAACGTCCCTGCTACCGGACTCGATGATTTCGGGGATGGGCATCACGCACAGCCGCAGCCGGTTCCACAGAGCCACGGTCCTCGCCTCTCCGCGGCCCCAGACGGTGGCGCAGGGGAAAATGCCAGCAAAGACTGCAGCCTCACCAGTGAGGCATATCCCGGCGTAGCGAAGGGCAAGGAGCCGGTGGTCTATCCGTGGATGAAAAAGGTCCACGTTAACAACGGTGAGTTATCGTCACGGTTTAATAGCAGAACCACTGAGAAACAACCACTGGAACACACGCAAGCCTATTGAGGCAGCACTAGCAGCCCTTACAACAGCAATTTACGACTATCGAGCAGCAGGGTCGGTAATTAAGGACCCTCGTAAATTTTATTGCCTGTGTTCGTCTGTCGGGGCCATGTGCCTTTGTTGCTTTTTAACCCAAAGTACCTCCACCACTGGAGCCGAGCCAAACTGTAATATCCAACCCCGCTGTTTTGTTAATCATTTCTAAGCTTGATATGTCCCTGGATGCGAGTGCTTGTACACTCGGCATCTCCACATTAAGGTCATGTCCGTAAACTGAAACAAGGCTTGAGAGTAAAACAAACAGAGCGGATGTGATTTCCCAACAAACCCAGAAATGTTTTATCGTTTTTCAACCATGTAATGTGTCCATTGGAGGAACTAGGGCTTTGGATTAAACGCTATCAGCCTGCGTTTAACACCTGCTTGCATGCCTGTGTATGGCTTTTTTCTCCTCCAGTCAATCCCAATTACACTGGAGGAGTGCCCAAGAGGTCCCGCACTGCATACACCCGCCAGCAGGCTCTGGAGCTGGAGAAGGAATTCCACTTCAACCGGTACCTGACCCGGCGCAGGCGGGTGGAGATTGCGCACACCATGTGTCTGTCCGAGCGCCAGGTCAAGATCTGGTTTCAGAACCGGAGGATGAAGTGGAAGAAGGAGCACAAGCTTCCCAACACGAAGATCCGCTCCTCCAGCTCGGCCTCGTCCTCAGCCTCGGGGCCCCAGCAGCAGCAGATCAAAACAGGCCAGCAGCTTGTCCCCACGCCGTGCACCGCAGGTCTATAGTGCTGAAATTAACCCCGTACCACAAAACCCAATCCAGACTGAGATGGCAAATATCACAAGTGGAATTTGATGGACCGATTCTCAGTATTTTACACACATGGTGTTATCTATTTCACCTTGCCTCTGCCATTGGGCCCCTGTCACGTCCTTTGTACCCTTTCCCTCTCCTGTCGTCCTCGCCCTCTTCATATAAGCTTGAAATTCACCTTTTATTGCCACGGTGGCCACTGAAGTGTTTCTATATTTGTTTATTATTATGAAAGAAGGATAACGCACATTCAAATGTAGGATCAATATGTATCATTACAGTTAACATTCAGTGAGGTAAACAGTATTTTTTCTATGTTCTCTGAGTATTGTTTTTTCATTATTTTTTTATTATTGCTCATGGAAAGCTCTAATATACTTGAAAGATATTTAGCGAGACTCTCGATGCCTGTTAGAAAACCAGACGGCTGATTTAGAGGTAAGGCATCAGTCAGAGTAACAGTGTTTGTGTGTTTGAGTGGGTTGGTTTACTGTTGAATGTAGTCCAGGTGACATTCACATTTAATGTACATAGGCAAATCATAATGAAGGCACAATAAGGAAAGCATTTCGTCAAGTAGAATTATGTTTGTTGGTGTTGTAAAGTCTAGGTTTATTTGTGCTAGTCCGTCCCATGTTGTGCTGTGTTCTAAACTGTGAATATTTGTATGTGTTGTCCCAGTATTGTGGTTGTGATGTAGGCTAGTGTAGGTTCAATTTGTCCTTGTGAAATAAATATGTACTTCACTTAATAACGTCGAATTGGCTTTGGATATTTTGTCCCTGCAAATACTGATTTCAATTGAGAGCAACATGTACTTGCGAAGCCGCGCGTATTGACATGGCAAGAGCATTGGCGTTCCCCCTTTAAAAAAAAGAGGGAGATTGCATTTCCAAACTCATATATTTTGTGCTTATGCTATTTTTTCAATTCAATACGTGGTTGTGGACTTATTTTATTACTTGTATTTAAAGCCTTTAATCCGTTATCTGTGTTTGGAGATGTGTGCGTAAAATTGTGATTGCATGCCACCAAGCATTGGATAATTTACTGCCCCACGCTTGCATAATAATTTATATTTATATGTTTTACTTTCTCTGAATATAATCAAAACATATTTGCTATATTTGATGTTATTTTCAGAGAGTTTTAACTTGTTAATCACGCAAATTCTGTTAAAGCAAGATTTACATAAAGGAAAACATATTAGGGTGTTTTAATTAATGTAACATGTTTATGTTTAGGCAAGCGTCTCCCTATCTACCATAAATACTTTTTCGCTGACTGAATAATGTCATCATGCTCAACTGACTTTTCTAATCCGTAAAATGAGCAAGAATGTCATGCACATTTCATGGATAAAGCTGAGGCGAGGTTTTAATTAAGGAGGCAGATTTCAGCTGCTTTAGCATTGCTGGCTTTTCTACTTTCACGGAAATCAAACCAACCTTACATTTTTAAATGTATCCGGCCTAACATATTGTTATCTCTTGCCATTATAAGGAGATCGAAGCCAACCTCGGTGCACCGGAGTGTGAGTGTTGGTCGCTACCTGCTTCATCCAAACAATAGGGAGTTCAACCAGAGGACACGGCAGGCTCTGGCCAATCACTGGCTCAGAGCACTTCTTCTGCCCCCTGACCTTTCGACACACACAATGTTCAGACCATACATCAGTGCTGAGACCTCCGCGAGCTTTTTCTTCCCATTTAAGATTTACCCAGAGACAGCGCGGAAACAAAAACGGGTTTAAGGTGTGAATCTGAGCCATGAATTGTCCCAAAGTTATTCTTTGAGACAGCTCTTCTGCAATATATCACCGAAACACTCCTGTCAGGGTAGATAGTGCAGATATGAGCTGAAACATGCTGGCATTTAGCATGCAATTTATTATGATTTCCAATATGTTGTGGCACTGATGGTTTCTGCTCAATATATATGCCAATAACGTAATGAATGGAGTTGCATTGCATTTAAAAGTAGATACAATTGATATTCACCAAAATTCCCACAGTAAAAGCCACATTTTCAGTAGAAGCTTTATTTATTTGATATACCGTTTTTTTGCATCTTTTACATTTATTCACTTGTTTGGCACATTAGATAAATAATCCTACGGCAATAATAAAAACGCTCTTAGAATATACCATGCTATTCATCTTTCTGTGAATCAGTTCCTGTAGACATGAAGGCTGTACAGAACATGGCGTTGAGGCTGATTGGGACCGATTTTGCGCTGACTCCAACAAGTCCAAAGTTAAATTACAAGATGTCAAGTCATTTGATTCGCGAATAGAGGTCACTTCCAATGTACTGAAATTTTAATTCGCCAGTTCACGTGACTTGTTGAATAATGAATGCCCCGGGGTCAGAAATAGATCTGAAAATCTACCTTATTTTCATTTGAAGTGATCCTCTGCAGGGTGCGAGTCAGATCTCTTCTCCCCTGACAGAACTCTGTCTGCGGGACACAGACCGTCATGACTTGTGAGTAGATTTGGTTGTTTTTCCTTCTTAATTTTTTTGTAGATGTTAAACAAATATATATATATATATATATATATGTGCAATATAAAATATCCTAGAAGTGGGCGTGATTTAATTATCTTCTGTCGACTATTAATGTATAATAAAATACAATATTTTTTTATTTCCAACCTAACATTGTTGCACCTTCGGAGCTTTTCTAATCTGATCTTTTTTAGGTTAAGTTTATTTAACTTAAACGGTCCTATTTTGATAAGTCTATTTGATTGAAAAGCATTTTCATTGACAGAAAACGTTGCTTTGGACATCTCAGTAAATATTTAACAAGACGGCTGGTCTTAATTCCCCTAAATGTTCGAACCCAGGAGAAGTTAGCATGATACAATTCAACCCTCATTCTTTTTATTCTTCTTTTTATATTTTTTTAGTTATCGACAGCTCATTAACAGATGCACTTTGCCCAGAGTACAAACTCGTGTGTTTACATAAAGTATAGGTGAATCACAACAACCTTCATTTAGCAAATACTTGCTTTATGAGACTAAAGAGACAAATAAGATATGTGCAAATGTGTTTTAAAATAGGTTGATATGTGGCTGCAGAAGTAACGCTATCTTACAGATGAGGCTAAAACGTTTCTGAGTATTTAGTAATAAAATCACTTAAAGTTGACCTGCAAAATAACGACAAGAAGCAACACTCTGCATTTGCGCTTGCAAAGTTAACCTCGAAAACACTTTGCATTTTAACATGGAACCATAGTTGTTGTTCATGGATTTTTACTGTGGCAAATTTTCTATGTGTTAATTGTATTATGACTTTCACAGTTGAATGTAATTTGAGTTAGTGTTTTAAAACAGCAATATCAATGCAAATTACATCTGCTGCTTGAAAGAGCCTTTCAATGAGGATGAACACAATAGAGAATATAGACACAGGTCAAACATTAACAGAGTCCTTAGAGTGTGTTACAATGTCAACAATACAAATGTTTATTTTTATTTATGGGCTGTTTTGCACTTACCTCCAAATTGTTACAGCTGTTAAACAAAAGCATATTATACATAATTTTCAGTCATAAAAAAGAGCCAGTTAGTTCAACATGAAAATTGCTTTATTACAACCACCTTTACGCAAACAATTAAGTTGTCCTAGTCAGTCTGCCTTCATGAGCGATGTTTACAAGTTTGCTTAAGGCGTTGAATTTCGCATTAGCCTTGATACTGGCCGATGTAAACCTCGCAGAAAGAGTTATCTTTGTCTGAGTGTATCCGTAACCCAAGCCTGGCTGTTAAGAGCTCCGAGTGTCAACATTGTGGGAAGATATGGACCGCCGTCTGGCCAACCTCCAGAGGTCTGCGCCTCTATGTCCTCTTCGCTGACAGTGATCAGGAACCTTGATTTGTGTAAATAACTCTAAATTTGTTTCATGCAAAACAAAATGTAAACTTAAAAACATAATTGCTCAACTATTACTTTTGAGGAAAGGGCAAATGCGAAAAAAGTAGACTACCAGCTGAGGGCCTCATGGATTCCATCGTCTCCTTGTTTGTGATCCCAAAATAAGTTCCCACTCGACTCTCTGCTTCTGCTCGGGTCAGGGAAAAGTTCAGGTGCGGTGGCAAAATGCAACATGGGATTAACTTCCAGAGCACGGTCATGTACAGCCATAAAATCATAGTGACAGCTCCACATCTGCAATTGTAGAAAAACAAAGAGAAAGTTAACACAACGCAGAGTCAAACAATGTTTAACAAAAGATAAATAGTCTTCTTTACATAAACATGAGTCTAAAACCTGTGCGTAAAACCCTTTTTTTGTCGTGATCATTAATATTCCTCCTCTTTTCATCAGTTTTAGAAGTGTTGAATGTGAATTAATAAGAGCTGGTCTGCTTCCGTTCCTGTCTTTAAAAGTTTACCGCTCAAGTTGTAGTTTGAGAAGACAAAGGCTGGTGTGGGAGTGGGATGCTGTCTATGTCCGCCCCGAATGATTAATAGTTGTGGTGGGATTTTTCCACGCCTGCTGCTCTGTGTTGACGGAAAACAAGCGCCAAACGGTGCCGATAGAAGATCTTTCTTCCGGGCTAGACTTTTGGCAAAATCTGAAGTGGCAAAAGTTAAATATATACTATGCTGTTTTTATAGTGGGTTTGGCCAATAGGACAATTGTGTCTTTTGGCATTTCTGCCACCGTAGCCCCAACCCCCCTTCAAAAGCTAAAATACTCTCCTGTTGCACAAACCTATAATTTCTAACATCACTCAGCTGGTCATAGGAAACGCATAAACGCACTTAGGTCGGATGGGGGTCCATGTAGTGATCAGCGGGGTCGAGCAGCCACTCTTTGGTTACCTCACCTCCACTTTCCGCTTACTGCTGAGTGACAGACACCTCCACGACCACCAGGGCGCACACCATCCTTATGTAGGACAGGTAAACGTGTGACATTTTTTACCCCATTTGGCAAACGGCATGCAGGCTTTTGCTGATGGAGAACCAAATGCTGATTAAGTGGTACTTCAACCGGACTGTGGACGAGGGGGGCGATATTGAGTAAAGCTCTCGGCAGTCCTGGCTGCTGTGTTGTAAAGAGAACAGAGTAGCCCTTTGCTGGAGTGATGAGTAATCATTATGCCATTCTTAAATGGCATTTTGTAAAGGAAAGCCCTCTCCATCTAAGATAGTGCGAATTATCACGCTGCAGTGCAAAACACTGGTTTGTAGCCTGGCTCCGAGCTGTGGCTGCACTTGAAATTCCGCACACAGGCAGGCAGGATTAGCTCTTTTTTCAGCCACTAACAGGCACCAAATATATGGCACTTTAAAACGGACAGAACAGTCTTTGGCTCTGAATGGGCGACACGTGGAAAAGCTGCTTCTCTGCGAGAGACCTGCTCCTCTGCCAGATACATTGCAGTGTCACATACCCCTCTTTTTTCTCCCTCCAAACTGATCCGTTTCTCCTCAGGGGCAATGACTGCCTCCATTAATGATTCACGGGCTCAAATAAAAGGGATTTAAGTTGACGTTGCGTCACGTGAGCGGTGCGCATAATACTGCGAGATGTTATGGCACGGGGAAGAAAACTGGAGCGCCGGTTTGGCCATATGATGCTGATTATATGCGGGTTACCCCCACTTTCCGTGAGGGGAGTCCGGGCTCTGTAGTTTGTTTACCGAGGGGAGAAAAGAGAGGCAGACAGAGAG